GATGATAGCATGTAGATCTGTGCCATCCCAAGAAGACTGGACCTAAATGCGGTGGAATGGGTTTGTGCACTTCAGCGAACCGTTGGGACATGCTGGGACCTGGTGCACCGCGCAGTCAGTGACGTTCCTGAACTCGGTTTTTGCTTACAATTGCCACATATTACCCCAAGTAACAGTACCGCCTTTCACCTGACTCTTTTTCGTTATATGCTGTTTACATTCTATCTCTATTTCCGCACCATGGTTAATCATTAGTATCCTGAGCATGTGGGTCGCGATAACTGGATCCGCAACACTCCGGCATCCGGATCATTGTTACTGAGTCAAACTGAAATAAACGCGGATGTTTGAACGTGGCAAACGGAAACGGTTTCCTGTCTGATCGAAAACCAGTTCTTGTACTAAATGAACAAGGTTGGGCTGCTTGCCGAAGGGGACAAAAGCTAGCGTATTCACACAGTGTGTCAAATAGAACGCTGCTGAAATTTCAGTGTCGCTGCCAGTCGGGACCATAGCACCGGCGAAGGAAATGCGGCACGAGTATTTTGAAAAGAGCAGGAAAAAGAGTTTGAACTCAGGCACCAGACGTAGACAGTGTCAGACTGCTGTGGGCAGCGATTCCTGAACGCAGTTAGGCGATGTTGTCCGATAGTATAAGTCGAAGCAATTTATTGATCATTCCCCCTCGTGTTAAAATCCTGTCATATCAAACGCCGTAAATGATATTTAGACTCCATCACCAATCCGGCGTGGTGCTAGCTCTAGCTATGTCAAATAGATAACGTGAGCACTGTGAGCGCGAAAGTCAGCTGTATAAAGGATATGTGGGGTGCAGGAGTGGACTGCGTGTAACACGGCGTTGGAAGAGATCAATAAATTAGGACAGAACAATACGAGGGAAGTGGTACGGATTCATTGCACTATCCAGTTTGAGGAATATGAGCTCTACCACAACGAGATGCAGGTGACCAGGTGTCACTAATGGATTAATGGGTGACGCGAGCTGCGTGCTTCTGATAGTGAGAGAATTGTAGCATTCGATGGGCAGATTGCAAACAGACCATGGGTGAAGAATGGTCGTTGGTGACGTAAATAAAAACGATGCGGTTACAATACACAACGCGCGATGCCATTAGCGTCGCAGTAACAAACGGGACAAGTCTCTTAAGTACCACAAAAGAGGTTGTAACATGTTGGTGCTCGGTGATCGTGGATAAAGTAAAAATAAACGGGGACGATAGAAAAACGCCAAACCGATAGTGAATGTACATGAATGGTGTAGATGGGAAAATTGTCGAAATGCACAAGCTGGCGAGTGAAAAACCCTAGTGAGACTGTCTGAGTTGAGCCGGAGAGAAATAAAAAATGGGCAGTACCAAATGATAGCCACGGACCATAGAAACGGAAGCATTCTAACCTTCTTCAATTCAAGCCAAGTAGAGAATGTGCTACTGACCCCGGGAGGACAAATGTTAAGCCCCAACTCACACATGAGTTCGATAATGATAGCAATCAGATGTATCGTTCAGTTACCAAGTGAGGAAACTCTGATCCAGCAAGAAAAGCGAACGATGAGGGATGATCCATGGGAAACAGGTCCATGTGCAAGCACATACTACCTTTCAATTTGTTCCAGGTAAAGAGGTGAACACATAATCAGACAAAACTCCAAGGAAAGTGAGGTCAGACTTTGTGTATATTCTTCCTGACACGTTTCCTGAAGGAATTAATGCGAGCAGCTATAACGCATGTAGGTTGAAAGGCGCACTTCGAAGACGCGGGAAAATAACAGGGGAGCACTGTGATACGAGCGCCAAGTCACAGTGAACAAAAGATCCAAGGAAAAAGGTAGGAAGCTAATGTGGGATGAATCTGACGGATTCGGTCATTGGAAGTAGCAAGTGCAATCGTCCGTCTATGCAACTCCGTTGATTGACTGAACGTCGGGTGCGCTATAGCGAATTAATCGAATAATCGTCGTTTGCGGAAGTGCTTGAACAATAGACTTCGACGCGTTCGGTATAGTAATCTTCCCTTCTTTGAATAAACCATCCTCCAGATAGACAGACAACATGTATATCCAACGGAAATGAACATATGTAATAATAAATCTAAGGATCAAAAGACGGACGGCGGAGAGGAAAGGCATCAACAGTATGACGGTACGTAGTATCGAGGTTTCGTTGCCGCGCAACCACCGCCGGGCGCGCGTGGGCTGAGGATACTGCGAGGGTCGCTCTGCCCCTCGCAAGCTCGAACTCGCGCCGTTAGACTACAAGGCCAGCTCGTTACCCTTAGGCTACGGGCCACAGGCGAGAAGGCGACAGCTGCCTGATAGTTGTGAGCATTTCCTCCACATGTATTTACCACGATAAAACGTTCCAGAACGATACCTAGAAGCTTCTCTGAGATAGGTGAACACAATTTCACACTGCTGATGTGAAGTAGAGTGCATTCTGTGAAAATACGCTTGTATCAACTTAACTCATGTCAGAAAAAAAGTTCGTTAAATTTTGTGTAATGGGTGACAGAAAAGGGAACTTAGACCAAACCTTGAATTAGACTAGATAAGTTTATCACTTGTTTAGACCATCAGATGGTCGGCATTGAAAAGCGCGTCATCTGTGAATAGCAAAAAGAGCGGTGCTTGATGAACAAGTATTGAGCCAACGTTGATGGAAAGTACGGATCGTCAGCGGATAGCTCCTCGAAGAAAATCGGAATTTATGTTGGACAGCGACGGACGTTGATTGCCAAGTCTGGCAAAATTGGTGAGATAATCTTTTAGCGGAAGATCATGCAGAGATCGCAACCGCAACACACGGTTTACACAGGCAAGCGAATGGATGTGATCAAGAAAGTAGAAAGCACTAAACGTATGCGATCATAACATCACCCTGAGCGGACCATCAACCGTGATAGGCAAATTGACTGAATCATCAAAACACTGAAGGGTGAATTACGAAATAACAGAAGTCAGAAATACCCATCAAACATCGCCGCTATAACGGACAAACATACCTAGCAAGGAACCGAGCAGATCATAGACACAAAACTGAAAATTTTAAAATAGCAAGTGTGAGCAACATCTCAGCAGCCTGGATTGCAGCGTTGAGGATGTGCGCAAATTGCTCGCCAGCGTTGACCGTAGCAAGCCTGCCGGACGTGATGGGCTCCGTCCAATGATCCTCAAATCGCTATCGGCTATCATCTCGCGTTCGATGACTGAGCTATTCAACAGGTCGTTGTCTGTCTTTTCAAAGCCGAACGAATGAAAATGCTCAGTGGTGAAACCGATTCCGAAAGGCGGCGATCCAAGTAAGGTGGAAAACTACCGGCCGATATGCCTCATTTCTGTTTTGGCTAAGACACTCGGGAAGATCGTGAAACGTGGTCTTCGGCAGTATCTGGAATTGAAAAGTATCTGGACGAGCGCTCATCACGATTTCATAAAAGGTCGGTCATGCATCACAAACCTGCTGCTCTCGACGCCGGAATGGATGCAAGCACTAAACCGAGGGAAGTCGTTTGACGTCATTTATGTCGACTTCAGTAAAACGTTTGATAAGATAAACCATGAGATCCTCATTCGGAAGCTGAACATGTTCGGTGTTGGTGGTCCACTGCACCAGTGCATCAGTGACTTCCTTACTGATCAGACGTGGAGGGTGCAGGTGGACAACCACTTGACCGAATGGTATCCCTTGACCAGTGGCGTCCCGCAGGGCACAGTCCCTGGGCCCATTTTGTTCCTGATCCACGTCAACGATTTCCATCGGTTCCTCAGTTGACCTTGCGAGTTGTTTGCAGATGACTTTAAGGTATGGAGGATAACTGAGGCGCCTGACGAATGCGACCTGCTTCAGCATGATGTTGACCGCCTCTCTATATGGTCATCAATGGTTAACCTTCCGATTAACCCGGTCAAGTCGATCTTCACGAGCCGGAGCAAGAGTGTTAATGGCCGAGTTTACAATCCGGAAGGCCAACAGTTACACCCATCGTCATCCGTGTAGGATCTCGGAGTACTCACCCGCTGCGATTTGAAATCGGTTGAAAATACTAGCTGACTATACCAAAACGGATTGCGCACGCTTTGGGCGCTCAACGTTCAAGGCCATTCAAATTATTTTTGAAACGATCAAAAAAGTATCAAGGCAAGGTGAGTTTATGACTGGTAGTCACACCTTACTTGGTAAGTTTTTTGGTTGTTTCAAATTTAAACTGAATGACCTTGAACGTAGTTCCTTTATAAACGCTACACCATTTTCCACGGATTGTATCTTACCAGCTAATGAGAATACCCGAAACATCTTGTTAAAATGTTGTTCCTTCTTGGTAGCTTAAATGTGTGAAGGAAAAATCCTGCATGAAAACCGAATGTTCAACGCGCTACATAATACAATAATATTGGGGACGATTCTATTCCCAAAACGCAAACTGGTCCCCAGCCTCGTGTCACAGCCAGGAAATGTCACAGTGTTGTTTATGGCAGCATCCATATCAAGTGATATAACACAGAAACACGAAGGAGATATATATGGTTTAGGAGTATAAGGACTGGAGTACATACAGCCGTACTGCAGCATAACAAAGGGTCGTTAAAAGTGCGGTTCAAAAAGGTCTTAATATGGCACAATCCACCAGTGTGTAATAGTCCCGCATTAGCTTTCAACCGTTTCCCACTTAACTGCATACTGAGATATTTGGTACCTAGTTTGGTATTCTAGTGGCTCCTGTGGATGTATGGCTTTTCCTCGTTAGCCCAAATAAACAACCGTCGGGTAACGTAAGGTTCTCGAAACGCGGTGATAAAAACGGACCTGAGTGATGTTGGCAACTGTCGCCTATTTCACGCGGGTAGGTGGGAGAGAATTTTTCGTCCACGTAGGATCTTAATCAAATGTAATTGGGTTAAAAAAGAAAAAAAGGAGCGAATCACCAAGAAAGTTCATTCAAAGTGAGAAAGAACAACAGTAACAGAGCTCTTGTGAACTCACTTCAATACTGAAATATCCGCGATCCACATAGTCCCCGAGAAACAGGTAGCGAGTAGTCGCTGGATTTCCACTGACTTCAAATAATTTCATGAGGTCATAAAATTGGCCGTGAATATCCCCACACACTAAATCAAGAACGGAAGTGGCAGGAGACCAGGTGTCAGCCATAGGGCCAGTCTGGATTAAAAGCTGATATTACCATCCCAGAGAAGAGTTAGAGATGTTAGAACAAACGACTAGGTAGACGACTAATGAGATTCTACAAGACCTTTATCTACTGGATTCCTATAGTGCGAAGCTGAGTGCGGCGCATCCAAAGTGACAAAGATATAATTCCAAACCTAAAAATCAGGAGACGTAGACAGTGAGATGATGCGGTCATTTCGTGCATTCTTATCAATCACAAAAACATGCAACATTGGAACATAAACGGTGATCGCAGTTAGCAAAACACATAGGCTACTACGGTAGGCTAATAGCCAATGTCAGCTATTTTTGAATGCCTAGCGGTGGTCGTTCGCGATGGATAACGATAGCCTCCAATAGCCTACTGATTTGGGGCTTCTGATCGCGCATTAAGACTGTGATCGACTCATCAGGATTGACTCGGTGACCAGTAGTCATCAAGTGCCTGGTGACTGCTGAGGTAGCTCGGTTTCCCGAGTCAACTGATTCTGTCGTCACAAATCCCATGCGGCTGCGCAACCATTTTTGGATGTGTTCATTGATTCTGACACCTAGACTTCGGTCAGTGAGCCCGACGTAGCGGTCTTCACAGTTAAAGATAATGTGTATAGACAATGGGACATGTACTGCTTTGTCATCGATGTCTTAATCGAACACATTAGCATAGGTCTAGTCGAGATGAGCAGCCGCAATTCCGCCGTGTTGTACAGTATTTTCAATGGGGCACTTATGAGTATCTCGGCAACCTTCATCACGTTGTCATCTTTGAAAGGCAGCTCAATGAAAATAGGCCACTTTGGGACTGTTAGCTTACGAACTTCCTTGTTTGTTTGACAGTGGCGCTCAATACACTATAACGGATAACAGTTAGATTGAAGCGTGCTGAATAGCAAGTTCCTTTCTACTTCTATGGTGCCTGGGGTGCAGATCAGGTTGGCCCGATAAAGTAGAGTTGGATTAGAGAGAAACTGGCAAAACGCAAATAATGGCCAGTCCAGGTCGGCTTCTGTAGACAGACCGTCTGTCCGTCGTGTAATCAGCACGTCTAGATACGGAAGGCAATTGTCTTGCTCATCGTCAAGCACCACAGTAAGGTTTGGATGAAGTGTGTTCCGAGCCTCGGTCGCATACGTGATGTTTACCTCGGAGTACATGATTAGCAATATGTCATCAGCATCACGCTTGTATAGAGTGGCTGAGCGTATGATGTAAGCTGACTTTTCCTTAATCATGCTCATGAATACATCTGTCAATAATGGACCTAGTGGGCTACTCAACGCCGCACGATCAATCTAAAAATAAGCACTGACCGAAGTCTAGGTGTCAGAATCAATGAACACATCCAAAAATGGTTGCGCAGCCGCACGGGATTTGTGACGAACGAATCAGTTGACTCGGGGAACCGAGCTACCTCAGCAGTCACCAGGCACTTGATGACTACTGGTCACCGAGTCAATTCTGATGAGTCGATCACAGTCTTAATGCGCGATCAGAAGCCCCAAATCAGTAGGCTATTGGAGGCTATCGTTATCCATCGCGAACGACCACCGCTAGGCATTCAAAAATAGCTGACATTGGCTATTAGCCTACCGTAGTAGCCTATGTGTTTTGCTAACTGCGATCACCGTTTATGTTCCAATGTTGCACGTTTTTGTGATTGATAAGAATGCACGAAATGAAGGTATCATCTCACAATCGACATCTTCCAATTTTTATGTTTGGAATTATAAAGGGAAATGCTTGTTTCAAAAGTATAATTGTAACGACGGCCGACTCTAAGCTGCCACCAGTGATACCTCATTTCCCAGATCTGACTGTTGGACAGGGAAATCTGCCGATATTTCACAAACTGACGCCATGGTAAATCGGAATGGATATGTGCCTGCTGAATTCGAGACAGCCACTGCAAGATAATGCATTAGATGGATTGAGTTAAATAAGGGAGAATACTGGGAGTGCAGAAGAGGTTCTCCAAAACGAACAAAAAAGGTCGGCTGAACACGTGGAAGCGCGGGATAAAATATTCACCGATTTAATGTACTTATTGACAAAGTAAAGCGCGGGAGGAGGATCGGTTAATAACATGAAGCGCACATCGATGGCTGCAATTACTGAATCGGTCACGAAAAAAGTGAAAACTAACCATATAGAGATAGTTTCTTGGAAGTCAAATAGGTCCGTTGAATCAGAGTAAGGGGCGAACACAGAGACAAGAAATTGCTAGATCAAGGTAAACTGACTGATAAGCTTATGAATGAAAATCAAGGGAGGTCGGAATACAAGATTTCACAAAACCAAGCGCGACTGTACAGCGCGAACCACCTGGGTCAACTGTGTTGTTCCCCGATAGTACCATGTGGAAAGAAGTGGCAGAAAGGAGAGTGCCAACGTTATGTATGTTCCAATATGACCTGTGATGAGAATATACAATCGGACTGAACAGATGAAAAGGCAGAACGAACCAGGAAGTCAATTGGAGGTGTGACCGCCGAATCCGGTAACTGGACGTGGCATTCATGGTCGTCCGTTCATTTGGCATCGCAGATGGATTGAAAGTTGCGTGAGCAACGCTTGCTTGATTGACCCCGTCAGACTGGTCTGGAGCCGTCCGTATTAGTAAAAGCGGATGAGCAATATGTACAGGCATTTTGTGGATCAACTGTGTTGTCATTTTCATTCTTCGCTGTATATACCGATTATCCCCCCACTTTTATCATAGAGATTATCAAACCAACTTTGCCTCCAATTTGAACAATAGCATTGTAAGAAATGCATACCAACAGGCAACAATCAAGGGGGCGATTATACTTACCAGTAACAGGAGCATCAACATTGAGGACAGTGTATTCCGCACGGAGCAAAGAGGCTCCACCACGAATTATTTTTAAAGCAACCTCATCCGTAACGCGGCCCTCGAGAATAAACTGTTGCTTGAGTTTGTCGATCCGTGGATATCCTTTGTGGTCAAACACATCCGCCACTGTCAGCCTATACGTAGGAGGATGAGGTACACCTGCGAAAAGGGATGGTAGGTGATCACATTTTGATACGAAGAGAGGTTGCTTTTAGTAAAAACCAGCTCAATTGTATGATGCTTACGGAGTCGCTTAGAAAAGGCATTAGCCGGTACACAGTACCGATGATCCGGTACCGCGTAACCACCACCGGTCGTACGTGGGCTAAGAATACTGAGAGAGTCACCCGGTCGCTACGTAGGCTCGAACCCGGGCCCACAAATTACAAGGTAAGCTTATGATCCTTAAGGCTACGGGTCCAAGGGAATGGTATTAACATAATAACTTGATAGAAAGCGGGTGTAGTAACAGTCGGAGCAACAGTATGTGTGCACAGCGACAGTAAGCGAGAAAAAACGAAAAGTGGAATTTTAGGTCGCCAAAGGTCACCCTCAGGTTGTCAGGTCCCATTCAAAACGGAGAGCAAGAGATGGGAAAACTAGGACATTTTGCAAATGGAAATAATCAAAAGACAAACCACTTGTTGCATTCCGGTGAGGAAACAAACAGCTGAAGTAATGTCATATAAAATGGATGCTGCAATGCTTATTCATCATCACCGGAGAGCTGACAGCCGGCTAAAGTGCCGCAAAAAGAGTTATATTACGCCTAACGAATGAGATCGGGAATAAAGGGGGAAGCTAAGCGGGAGAGGAATGGATAAAGAAACTCACAACACAAGCGCCATTGGGGCCGGCTCCTAGCCGTATAAGCAAGTGTGTCCAACCAAACGGGTTCATCGTCCTTAAAACCCCAGCCAGGCAGTCTGGATGCACCAACCGACGCCAACTTCGAATTGAGGATTTTCATTTCTCTCGACCAAATAATCGCCTGGCCTCCTCTCCACCTCTTCCAACCGCACCCCCGATGCGCAAACAATGCACGTCGCAGGAGTCCGTGCGCTGGCATGCGCAACATGTGGCCCAGCCATTGGAGCCTGGTGCGTGATATAATGGTGCTGAGCGGTTCACTCGCTCTTCCTGCATCAAATACGCGACGCCGAATATGCTCATTGCTCACACGTTGCTCCCACCAGACATGAGCTAAGCTACGAAGGCAGTGACGGTCGAATGTGACCAGCCTCTTTATGTCCGTTGACTTGATAGGCCACGTTTTACAACCGTATAAGAGGGTTGAACGGACGGCTGCGTTATAAAGTTTGCCCTTCAGGGCAAGTGTGATGTCACGTCTGCGCTACAGGTTGCGGAGATTCGCAAAAGCACCTCGGGCTTTGATATACCGTTCGTAATCTTATCTACGATCACACAGGCGCCAATATAGCTGTCCAGGTACCTGAATTTCTGAACGATTTATTGCGCAGGACTTCAGATTCGAAACCGGGGAATATCACACCCGGACCACATGTTTTGAAAACAGCTTGAGGCTATTAGAATTTAACCGAAATAACGCCAGCATCTGGTTAATATCAAAACACTATTTCAAGGAGGAAGCAGGTAAGTGCAGTCAGCCAAGCAACATGAATCGCAGTGGTATGCAATGACCCCTTGATGGATTGTCAAGCTGATAGTTTCACACAGCGTACCTGCTAACGATGTGGATGGTTTAGGTTTCAATGCTCGTTTTGTTATCAGAGCAAGAAAAGAACAAAGCACCAAAGAACGCTTGTTGAGTGCCGCAAAGTAAGGCTTTACAAGTGAGAACTACAACATATAATTACTTGAAGTGGCCTAAAGTTGTTGTCTACTCTTTGCAATAGTCAATCCCCAAAGCGTCCGGAAAGATCCATGTTAATATCCAGGCCGCTAATCGGAGGAAGTAAAATTAAAACTCTGAACCCTATGAGATAGAGGACGCTACGATTAATCTGTTAAAAATTGTTCCTTCCAGTATGTTGCAGGTCAATAGCCTCGGTTAAAGGTAGTCGCTGTTTCCGTCCAAGAAAATGTCGCGATGAACTTAGCCCAAATAAAAATGGTTGATGAAATACTTCTTAGGAGATGCTGATCCCAAAATGCAAGTTTCGGTCGATAACCGAAGAGTAGGAACCTCTGACTTGTAATTCAAACTCACCGGTTGGAATCCGCATAGGTGCAGGCAGCATCGTAGTAACCCCAACTCGCGCGACTGGTGGCGGTTGTGCCATCCCAATGAGGCAGGACCGTACCGTCGTGAGATGGTTTGCGTGACTCAGCGATCCAATGAGCTATGCTGGGTGGTGTCTTTTCACACCTTCAGAGCCCCTCATACCAGGCTGGTCAATGGTTAGAGGACAGAAAAAATTTAGCCTTCTGGTCCTCCGGATTGGGGTGAGTGGTGGGTGAGAGTGCGTCAGAGATGGAAGTGGCCGCTACCCTTGGTAACCATCGAAAGTTATTCCGTCTGATACGAGAAACGGGTAGCAGACCTGGTGTCAGTGAAACTCCCCCTGAGGAGAGTGGACAGCACATCCACAAACTAGTAAAACGCTTGGAGCGTTGGGCTAAACAGATATCTCAACGGCCACTGACCTCCCTTCTCCGTGTGATGTCCCTTTGGATTCGCCCTCTCGCTCAGAAGTCGAGAGATCGGACTGCTGAAGTTAAATAAAGCCGCGGGACCAGATGATTTTCATCCAGCCTTCTTCTAATTTGGAGGGGGGGGGCTGCTCTTAAAGATGTTTTACACGAGTCACTAGTGAAACTGTGGAAGGAGAAAACTGTCTTGACAGACTGCGGATACTCCGTTATAGTCCCCATCTTGAAGGGATGCTCAAGATGAAGGTTTTATTCCCGGCAGTGCGGGGCACACCCGCGAAAGCATGATCATGATAATACAAACAGGCATGGTTGGTGACTGTATAAAAATATAGCAAGTTAGGCAGTAACATGTTGGATTTGTGAGTCTGTATATATGTAAGTGTATGTGTTAGTGGGCATTGTGAGTGAATTTTTGAAGTGTGACTGAATACGCTAGTCTGTTTGCTGTGTTCGTCATTGTGTGAAGAGATCAAAGGTACTCTTCGAACTGGATGACGTTCTTGAAGTGGGGATGCTCCGGAAGGGGAAGAGGCAGTGACTTTATTTAGTGGCGAGTCACAGCAGCCATGCCGCAGTGTAGTCAAAAGGACTTTTGTGGTTTTTTGTAGGGAGGACGATTGCCAGGCGAAAACCCACCACGTCCTGGAACACTGCCGCCGATCGGAATGCGGCAACCATAGGGGAATCAGTCTGATCTTTATCGCCACCAAATTGCATGCCTTTGTCATCCTTCACAGACTGACTAGCAACCGTGAAAGCCAGATTCCAGAAGAGCAAGCCGGGTTTCGTCGAGGTCAGGGATGCATTGATTACTTGACCGCTTCGCGTTAATTGGTGCAGCACCGACACATATATTGGCGGCCCACCGTAGTCCTGTTCCTTGATATTAAAGGTGCATTCGATTCGGCTGACCAATGTGCCCTTGAGACAGTCTACTCAGGAAAGGTGTACCCAAGAAATACGTAAACATTATGCGAGCATTATACGTGCGTAGTTCGGGCAGATTGAGGGTTTACCGCAAGCTGTCGCCGCCCTTCAATATCTAAGGCGATGTAAGACAAGGATGCCCGCTGTCACCTTTCCTCCTCAACTTCGCCACTGACGAAGTCATGAAGATCGCGGTCACAGGACACGACTTAGAAAGTGTGGAGCTACTCCCAGGCGAACGATTTCTTGACTTCAAGTATGCTGATGATACTGCCCCAACCGGTGACAGCTCCCAAACGTGCCAAGCGGCACTGGGCAGGTTAGCACTGGCTGTTAGCCGCTTCGGGCTTTGCCTTGCAGCATTGAAGTGCAAAACGATCCTCCAAGTTTGGCCTAGACCGCCCCCTGTGCTGACTCTTGGTGGGGATCAGCTAGAAGTGGTTCGGCAATTAAACGACCTGGGAAGTTGTACCAGCGCCTTTAAGATCGAAGAGGAGATCACGAACCGATATAGCAAAAGCTCGAGTCGCTTTTGGTAACTTACGCCAAGCATGGGGCCAGCGCGACATCCCTATCTCCTAGAAGGGAAAATTTTACAATGCTGCAGTCTGCTCGACTCTCCTTTAAGGCTGTGAAACCTGACCCACTAGATCAGCAGACATAAAGAGGCTAGTTACGTCCGGCTATCAGTGCTTTCGCAGTTTGGCTCATATCTGGTGGGAACACCGCGTGAGCAACGAGCGTGTTCGACGCCTTGTTAATTGTACAGGAAGAGGAAATGAAACCCTCAGCACCGGTATTTCACGCACCAGGCTTTGATTACTGGGCCACATGTTACACACGTCGGACAACCGACTCCGACGACGTGCGTTGTTTGCGCGCCGGGGGTGTGGATGGAAGAAGAGGAGAGGTGGCCAAGCGATGATTTGGTCGAGAGCAATAAGGGCCCTTACTTCGACTCTGGCCTCGGTTGGAGAATATCGACTCCCTGGTTACGGCCAGAAAGAGGACGAACACGTTGTGTTGGATATACTTGCAGACATGGCTGGGAGGTGTCCTCAATGGCGTTTGTGTTGTGAGTTTCTTTGACCCTCCCTCTCCAACCGCGATCTCATTTCTTAGCACAATACGAATTTACATAACAAATGTTTTGCTGCACAGTAGCCGCATAGCAGCTTTCCGGAATGATGTCCATCGGTTACTGGTAGTTCAGCTGGCGCGCAAATGTTGTGTTTTGCTTTCTTTTCTTTTCTTAGGTATTGCGGCACAGTAGCTGAGGTGTCTTCCACCTCTGGGTAAGGTGTACAATGATAGTGATCGAGTGACAGTGAAGCATCGTCATCATTCGACACATTAGCTGCAGGTGGAAAACATTTCAGTCATTGTGCCGCAATACAAAGGCCAAAAACAGAAACAGAAGCACACCACTGAGTCACCAGTAACGGATGGACATGGTTCCGGAGTGCTAACAGATGGCATTCGAACCTCAAAAAGGTTATATTGTGCCTAATAAATGAGATCGTGGTTGGAAAGTGAGGTTAAGCGGAAGGGGAGAGACAAAGAAACTTAAAACACAAACGCCACTGAGGTGGGCC